AAATATTGAATAGTTGCCTATTAAGGGAGCACCATCCATTCTGTGCACTGAATGAGGTCCTGTAGAAAAAATATTGTGTGATGATGGAATTAAAGACTATATCATAATGCATACGCACAAGGGGGCCAAATTAAGGTTACTTAAGCAATCTTAGTTTTGGTATGTCCTGACTTTTGAGTGCTTGACTTCGCAACTTTAATAATCTTCTGTTGTTGTGGGGGTTTTGTGTGTAATATATATTAAGAGCTACCTTCCCACAGCCCCAGGGAATGGTTGGAAAGAGAGCCTGTGAAGCAAGGAAGATAAGGGCTGCCACAGCCTCTTATATGACTTTATCATATGCCTTCAGTATCATTTTATTGTAAATACTTTTATGTAAATGATATATAAAATCACAGATTGCAGTCTTTGAGGTGTTTGAGGGTAGTATAAACACTTTTTTTGCACCAAAACACCATCTCTACTGTATTTTCCTAACTACTGTTGTGGTATGTGGGAATGTCCTGAATTACCGGATGCTACATAACTTAATAACCCACCTAGCCTGTAAGTGTGATTATTTCTGGATTACATATGGCAAAACTGAGGCACAGGGAAATTAGGTGTCTTGCCCAACATCACACTACAAATCAATGTTAGAATTGCAAATAGAGCTCAAGACTCCTGGTTTACAGTTCCCTACTCTATCCAGTGGACAATGTTGTTCTCAATGTAAAAAACATTGCAATACAAAGTATGTTGTATTTTACTCAACTACCTAAGGAGAAGATTAACAAAAGTATTAGGAGGGATATTTTTAAAGGCATGAATGGGAGTTAGGTGTCCAACTTTCATTGACTTTCAGTAGAAACTAGGTGTCTATATACCCTTTGTACCCTTGAAAATCTCCCCATAGAGGACTTACAAGCGAGGAGATTTGCACTGTAGTAATATCATCACGTCAGCAACTTCGTTCTGACCTCTAAAAGGTTTGCGTACTAAAACTCAATAAGCAACCAAAGTGACAGTCAAATATGAAGATAAAACTATTTGTTTTGAAGAGCACTTTGATGTGTTTTTATTACACTTGCATACAGACCAAAATAGTCACAATAGTGGGAGGGAGTATATGTAAAGCTGATTTAAAGATAACTAGCCCAAAAGCAGTCTGTCTTATTTTACAGCAAAGACTTAAAAATGTATCTGCAGTGCACAGAGGGATGTTATAGAGGGTTAATGGCATGTACTCTTAGTGTCACAGACTAAATAAATACTTATGAATTTGAAATATAAGGATGCTGCATTATTGTGAAGCTTACAAGCACAAGTGTGCTAATATGACTGAGAGTCACACCTTTTATTCATTTTTCATTTTTGCCAGTTGTAGCAGTTTACAAAGGAGTTCAGCCTCATTCCTTATGCACCCTCCGAAGTGTATTACTATTATAATGACTGACAAAATGGTGCTGTTTTCTAGTTTACACACATCTCGGTAGATTTTCAAATAACTCTTGTTTTCCAAATAACTTCTGAATCATTGGAAAACACTGACTACATGCTAAATCTTATAGAGACATCAAATTTCATCTGAAAGGGGTAAGGTACTTTATCCTACCTATGGAAAATAAAAACGCTGCCATTTTTAAAAATGGGGAAACTGTTGGGGATTTTTTTTTATGCTTTAACTCAAAAATAGCTGTAGGAATTATGCTTTCGTAAAAAGATCATGTTGAGATAGACTCCTAACATGAAAATTTTCAGTCCAAGAGGTGAAACCTTCCAAAAGTTATAAGTAACTGAATTTGGAAGCCAAGTATCAGAGGGGTAACCGTGTTAGTCTGGATCTGTAAAAGCAGCAAAGAGTCCTGCGGCACCTTATAGACTAACAGATGTATTGGAGCATGAGCTTTCGTGGGTGAAATACCTTCATGCATCCGACGAAGTGGGTATTCACCCACGAAAGCTCATGCTCCAATACGTCTGTTAGTCTATAAGGTGCCACAGGACTCTTTGCTGAATTTGGGAGGTTCTAATGGACACTTTTTTGTGTATTAGGATGGTCACTAGCAGTAATCATTTTCATATGTACACATACATGCATGTGAATAATTCTCTAAGTGGTGGTATTATCTATGTGATAAACTGCATGTATTATTCACATGTACCTTTGACTGGGTCTACCTACTGTGACTGTGTCTGCATATGCATCCATCTCTGTTGAGACAACTTCTGACATTCCAAATTTCAAAGCAACGTCAGTCAGTCACCAAAACCAATTTGCTGGAAGAATCTTTCTTTCTTTCCTCCCAAACCCTCTTCCATCAAGTAACACTGACCCAAGGCTCTAATCAGACAATACCTCCAAAAGTGACAGTTTTAAGGTCTGATATCTTATGACCCATCAACTCTCGAAACAAATGTATACAACTAACTTTCCAGTGGGGCGCACACACCATTTGCTTCTAGCACTAGTAAGATCTCATCTATATCAAATCTTAAACTCACAAGATTATGTATAAAAACCCTATTTTAGTAATCCAAGTGGTTTCTAAAATGCATAGATTTTTCTCACTCAGAGGCCTGGTCAGTTGGAATCAGAGGTGGGAATTTTCAAAAGCACTCTGGGTCAGCTTATTTCTTCCATGGGAACACAAAGGAAGATTTACCACTGACACCAATGGAAACAGAGTGTGAAAATCCCATCAATGGTGATTAAAAATCTGGACTTTACAGGCAGAGGAATATGAAAAATAGTACCAATAACCTGCCAGATTAATGTTTCCTCTTCCTCCCCCCACCGTCCCCAAACTATGGAATTTCCCTCCCAAAGGTGTCATTTGTCTGAGATTCAAGATGGGCAATATTCAGTCCCAGACCAGAGGTGGATTTTAAGGTCTGATATCCTGTAGACCCACAAATTAGAAAATGGGAACGTGACCACTGGAACGTGGATATTTCTAGCTTTTTAATGACATACAGGACATTGATTTCTAGCTCTGAAAGATCCTAAGATATTGGACCATAAAATTGTGACACTTTATAAGCTATTTTATGCTATTTTTAGATGTTTCTATGTTTGTCTTGCTTCTTAGTGCTGTATACTGGAACTTGGGGTAACTAAGGCTAGGTCTACACTACCCGCCTGAATCGGCGGGTAGAAATCGACCTCTCAGGCGGAGGTGGGAGTAAGCGCCGTCGACAGGAAGCCGCAGAGGTCGATTTTGCCGCCGTCCCTACAGCGGGGTAAGTAGGCTGCGATACGTCGAATTCAGCTACGCTATTCACGTAGCTGAATTTGCATATCTTAAATCGACCCCCCCCCCCGTATTGTAGATGTAGCCTAAGGCTTTATAGGCATAAGGATTCAAAAATTAGTCCTACATTAGGGTGACCAGATAGCAAGTGTGAAAAAATCAGGACGGGGGTGGGAGGTTATAGGTGCCTCAATAAGAGAAAGCCTCGAATATCGGGACTCTCCCTGTGACATTGGGACATCTGGTCACCCTACCCAACACATTGTTTTAAAACTCTGTAAAACAATTATAGAATAGCTGTTGTGTAATATTTGTAGCATGTACAGAATAAACGATGGTGTGGTGCTATATAAAGGGTTTATTGGCACTAGTGTGGAATGACCAACATGTGCCCATAAATGCCCCTATGTCTATCCCAAATTCATATTGATGAAACCTTTACTACACCACACTGGCAGATAGCCACATGCAGATAATAAACATTTATTAATGGGAAGCGTGCTTTTTTTAAAGAAATCATATCCGTTTAATTACTTAAAATGCTCTCCATACTCTTGGAAAGCTAGGTAGGCATTATTATTTCTTCAATAAGCAGCCTTAGGAAATAAGACAACTAACCACAGTGATTTTCTTTTTCTGCTCAAGAGGTTCTAATGTTCCAGAATGTCTAAAGAACTCTTTTACTTGATGAATCAATTGTACAGGTAAAGAGTCTATTCTCAGGTTTGGAGGCCTTAACCTGCTTCCATTAACTTTTCTACTGTTGACTTCAGGAGGAGCATGGTCTTTTATTAATTATTATTTGCATTATCATAGCTACTAGAAGTTCCAGTCATGAAATAGGACCTCATTGTTCTAGGTGTTATACAAAGAAAGAACAAAAACAACCCCCACCCCCACCCCCAAATAGGCACTGCTCAAAGAGCTTATGATCCTTTCCTACGTGCAGGGAGCTACAACCCACCATACATCAAGATGTGGATACAACAAAGTTTTCAGGTTTATATTTACATATCCAAGACAATCTTTGAAGATATACATGATCTTAAACAAAAGTTAACCCAGTACAAGTCTTGTTTGTCCTTTGGGGAATGATGAAATATGTACATGTAAGACCTTTGGAGGCTGAATTTTAGCAACAGATGGGTTGTGCTAATTGTGCATTTTGAATTTGTTACAATATAACACAATCATTTCTATAAAATCATATTTAATATACAACAAACTCTCACCACATAAACACATCAAAACACCTTATTATAGTTCCAAGAATCAATTACAGGTTTTCATAAAAACATTTTCATATCTAGAATCTTAATACAGAATGATTTATTTCTATGCCAAAATACATTTAGACTGTAAACTGTTTGTAGAAAAAGACAGAGAATTGGGGTTTGCTGGTATTTAATCCATCTTATTTCTTTCTTTCATGTTCTGTTTTGAAACATATCTGAAATGTTTACATAAAATGCTTTGTTTTTTTATCCAAAGTTCTAACCAAAAAAAAAGAGAGAAAGAGAGAGAGGAAGAAGAAGATAATTGTCTCTTCACTTCCTCGTCTTTTGGATGTGCACAGAACAGCATTCACTGTCGGCACATGCTACCCTGGTCAGGACTGTGTGCCATGTTGGTTTTGAAAGAAAGACACAACATTCCCTTTTAATACAAGTATTGGGTGCTCACAGAATGAAGAATTGAGGCCCAATAATAATTGAACTGCATTTAGCAAATATAAAACTGGAAAAAAAATCCACATAAAAACACATATGAAGATTGATCACACAATTTTATTAGAGTCTTTTGAACAATTGTATTATGTTGTTCCTTTATTTAAAAACTCTTGCAAAAAAAGACATTGGAGTGGACTGTTTTCAACCCTGAGCATTAACACTGCATATCAAGTACTGTAGTAAAGAAGCTGGTTAAGATTGTAGCACTAGCACAAAGTCACTGATATTAATCCTCTAAATGATCAGGTTTTTACAAAAAAAATACATAGTTTTCAATAAATAATGCTTAATTTTACAACTTTGATACAGCAATGTCATACACTGTTTTGACACATACTAAACTCTGCATGCTATATAGTCTACTAGAAGACAAAACTTTGCCATGCATTTTCTTTTTCTAGTGCTAGAAAACACTTTGTCCTCCAGTGCATTGCCTCAAGCAGCCTTACTCTCTTCTTTCTATCTCATAGCAATAGGCCGTGCACTGGCATGCAAAACCTTAAGAAAAGGTTTCCCCCCCCACCATCACTCAGACTTCTAAACAAAAGTACTTTTCAGCTTTCCCCCCCAGACCTGGAGTGTCTATGAAAATGAATTTAATGTGGCCTTTGAAAAGGCTTTGAAATTACATATTTTAAAAGTGTCATGCTGAAAAACGGCTCTAAAACATTCAATTTTCCCCACCTGTGGCCATCATGCAACATCTTTGAAATGTTGTAACCATCAAATGTCCCACATTGGAAAAACAGGCCTCCATTTTAAAACAGCCTCCCACCCCTGCCAAAAAAAAAAAAGTATCACAGCATTTATGTAGAGACTCCAAAATTCCAACATATGTACAAGAGCAAAACCAGATAGAAATTGCAAATGAGCTAACAATGGCATATAACTCTTCTCCCTGGTATACCCAGGAGTTGAGGCAACTTGGCTTTGGAGATATGCAGGAAGATGGAAACAAAATCAAATTGTGATAATAGGAGCTCCTGGAATAGTATTTATTATTTGATCAAATTTCTTCAGATGGTAAATCATTGTGTCTTGATTTTCTGTGAGGTGAATGTTACTATAATGTAATTCCATGATAATCAAACCAATCTTAATTTCTGAAGGTTCACAAATCTTAGTAGCTTGATTTTCTCATGTTCATTCATTCTGCAAGATTTCACTTCACAGAAAATCCACATGTAATAGCTAAGCACAAAAAAGTTTGATTAAATAATAAGCACTGGAACAGCCATTCTCACATTTCCAGGTTGTTTGTTCATCATTGAAAACCACTCACCCCTTCTTATCCATATTGCTTTAGGGGTTTACTTTTATATATAGAAGTCATTGCTTTGAAACTACTGTCAATCATAATCTTCTAAGAGTTTTTAAAATATTCCTATCTTTGCACTGGCATAAGTATTGGGTTTCCTAAGAGAAACTCTACCCAACGAAGGTATTACTTTTTATACATGAAACAATACAAATTTTGTTTCCCTTTTTTGTAAGTCATTCTACACTTTCTGCACATTTGTGCTTTATATTGAATATAAAAATAGGTCTTTAAAACTCTATTTACTTTAAACTCACTAAAAAACTACTTGCTTGTGAAATTCTCTTACAAATTCACTGCATCCATGTAGAGAAGATAAAACTAATTAGGCAGTTAATTGATACAGGTAGTGTGTAAAAAAATAATAAATTTTAAAAATCACAGCCTGAAATTTGGGAAAAAAGAGAAATTGAAGGAATAAAATTGTATAGTTGAAATGTAAGGCAACTCATTATAGGGAGTTTCTTTCTGGTCATTATCATAAGTGAAGATTAAGGGGAATTTAGAAAGAGAACTAAGTTTTCCAAAAAAACAGGAAGAATTGGAGCCCAATTCTGCATATCTTTCTTGAAGCAAAAAGCTCTCATTAAGCTCAATGAGAATTTTTGTTAAGAAGTGCAGGTTTAAGCGCATACCAGGGCATCAATATGAAGATGTGGCAAGGGTAGAGAGAAAAGGAATGAACTGTAATGGGAGTATCAAATAGCTTGAAACTATATGGCCCTGATTCAACCTCACAAGAGTTTCACACTAGAATAACTATAGAGTTGCACTTGATTTACACTTGTGTGAACGAAGAAACAGGACACACATGAGATAACTATAGAGTTGCACTTGATTTACACTTGTGTGAACGAAGAAACAGGACACACAGATGCAAACCACATTCAGTAGGGGAAGTTTACCCTGGGTGGATGTGGATGCCTACACTTTAGACTACAAGACATTTAAAAGGCATTTTGAATATGTCTTCCTGTTAAATTTGAAAAATATTGTCCTTTTAAACAATTTACAGTTAGTACTTTTATAGTTGAGAGACTAAACAGAAGAAAGCAACCAAAAGGGAAAATGTCAATTGAAGTTATCTTTCCAAAAACATTCATTTTCAAAATCTGAAAAATACCACCACCCTTTTCTACATCTTATATTTAAGTGAGATCCTAAGTGTTGTAAAGAAAGTTGTTTTTTTTCCAATTGGAAAAAGCTGAGTTTCTTCTTTTGTGCCCCTAAGTCTGCTTACACATAGAAAAGTACTATACAGAGACCAAATGAAAACAGGGGCAGCAATAAGAAAGTAAATGGGAGACACTAAGCCTGGATCATAATGATTTCTCCAAGAGGGTAGTCAACAAGAATTCATACGCATACTTAAAAGGAAAAACTGGGAATAGGGTTATTCAATTTGACCAGAAATACCCCACACATAAAATATGAGGATAACCTAGCTGATGTGATCTTTATTGACTGTAAGACTGCTCTTACTCACATTGAAGTGAGTGGGAGTTCAGGCATTGATTTCAACAAGGAGCAAGTTCTGGCCCTAAAAGTGTCGTGGCTTAATTAGAATATTCATTCATTTTCCTTGGGCAATATGCAAAGTTAAGCTCTCAAATGGATGAAAAGTCAAACTTTTGGGGAAAAAAATATGTATTGTCCCCCTGTTCATTGCATCATCACTCAAAATATTCATTTTACATATTGTTGTAGTTCCCTTCCAAAAGCTCTTCCAAGACTCTCTTGGCAGGGTGTTTTTTTCCTTTGACTAAACTAGACCTGTTGCTCTTTAAAATCTGCCTGACTGCTCTATACTTGGATATTTCATATTAGTTATCCTTGATTAATACTTCGTAATAATTTTAAAAATTCCCTCCAAAAATACATCAAGATTTTTTGTGAGCTGAAACATAGACTTTATTACAAACTGAATCCACCTTAGATTTGACCATCATTAATACATAACTCACTGAACATTTGCAAAACACAAATGTTCAATTACACTGCCTATCATTTCAATAAACAAGGATGCATATCAGAAAGAAGGGAGTGGAAGAAATTGTCCACACCCTCTCATGATAGCTTGAAGAATTGCTAAGAGAATTTTGGCTCAGTTTTAAAAGATTGGAATATGATCATCTAATGCGATCACCCTATCCCATGAACATGAACTGGTTTTCAACAGTAGGACAGCTAATGGCTAGGCTGTAGAGCACTTTAGTTCCTTTTTTTTTTTTTGCCTTAGAAGAGATAAATGTCATTTGTTTTCAATCTAATTGCTAAGTAATTATATAGAGAACATACTAATCATTTGAGACCAAAAAAACTGAAAATTCAAGAAACTCTGTTTTATTGAGGACTATCCATTGCCAAGGATATTTTGTGTGTTGTATTTGTTTGTTTTAAAACAGTTTTTTTCCCCATAAAGAATTATCACAATGCAAGACATAAATTTAGGTTCCCAGATACACTGCATCTCTTTTCTGATAGCAAGAATTTAGGCCAAACAGCTTTTATTTAGAATCGTAAGTTTTTTAAATTATTATTATGAGAAAGAGATCAGATTATATGAATCATTTAACTACCAGATTATTTAACTAACCTAAAGTAGCTATCTCACCACTTAAATGCCTAAGAGTTGTCTTTGATTAAACATAACATGCATGCAGGTTTAAATGTTGTGTTTTATTATGCCTTACAAATATGTATGCAGGATTTTCATTTTCAGCAAATCTGAAAGCCTGTAGCAGTGGTTGCCACCAAAATTACCAGCACAGTGAATTGTCCTTGTAAACAGCTGGATCATTTATTAGTGGATAAAGATAAAGGATCGACCAATGCCTATCAGATAAAAAGTAAACTTCTTGAGAAACACACTTCCACCTTGAGTCTGTTTATTGCCATCAGCAGTTCTTTCAAAATGTAAAACTGAAATCTGACGGCTCCTAAGGGGGAAAAAATGCACATTTTACAAAGTCTGTTCATCTGCAGCAGCCGCTCACATCCGCCCTTCCCACGCCCCAGCTCTCAGACAGGCAAAGGCAACTGCAAAGAAGAGGGAATTGGAGCAGATCCCCTGGGTTCTCCAGCTGCCGGCGGGGCGGAGGTTAGCTCCGTGGCACTGCTGAGAAGGGCGGCAGCACCCTCTGGGCAGGACATCAGTAGCTACGGGCCCGCCCAGGCCGCTGAAAGAGAAGGGAGGCAGGGCGGGCTGGGGACAGAGCGCTCTGGTTCCGCGAGCTCGGGGCCAGCAGCGCCGGTGCGCGCCAGGCTCGGGCAGGGAGGGAAGCTCTGCACAGAAGCGACAGGGCAGAGATCAAAGCTGGCCGCACCTCCGCCCCTGCGGCAAACTTGGAGCCCCCGCCCCCTCCTGAGCAGGGTCCCCCGGCTGCGGCCGGCCTCCCCAGCTTGGAAGCCCCGTACCCGCTGCTGCCTCGCCTGCCCCTCCGGAAGGGATGCACGGGGAGGCGGAAAGCAGCCGCCAGCCCAGCACCGTGCTGCCCCGGCCGGCGTGTGGGGAGTGGAAAAGGGCGGGGAAGCTGGCGCGCCCCGCCCCGGGGGAGCCAGCCGCTCTCCGGTCCCTCCCCGCCGCTGCACCCCGATTCCTTTTCCCAGTTTCCCCGTTTAAGACTGACTGGGGGCCGGGGGAGAAACTGCTAAAAATAACCAGCGCGCCCAACGCCGCCGCCAGCCTTCGCTAGCCGCACATGGCCGGACACACCCCCTCCGCGCACAGCCAGCCTAACCCGCCGCACAGCACAGCCCACGTGGAAGGGACCCCCTAGCCCCGGGAGCCAGCGCAGCCCCCTCTCCGAGATCCTGAGGGAGACCCCGCCAGGCCGAGCAGGGAGCTAGCTAGCACAGGCCCCCGACGCTGCCCTCTGGAGGGCCGAGCCCCGCTACTTGGGGGGAGGGAGCCAGAGCCATCCCCGCCTCCTACGCGCACGGATCTCGGCCTGAAAGGTGTCCCTACCCCCGCCCCACTCGGAGATGGGGAGAGGAGTAGAATTTCCCCCCCCCCCCCAGTAAAGGGCCCCTCCGCTAGCCACACTCAGCTGCGATCCCCCCACTTCGCCGAGGGGAGATGCAGCAATGACAGAAGGCAGGTAAACGGGCAAAGAACCTAGCACTAAAGCGTGCCTGGAATCACGTTCTCTGAGACCCTCTCCGCCATCTTTCTGTGGGCTCCCGGGGTCTCCCCTTCTAGGCTACCAGGGCGCTGAAAGCCGGATTGGGGGGCGGGGTGGGGGTAAAATCAGCGATTTCACACGTTTGTGGAATAAAAAGCTGTCTAACATTCTTCCCTCTCCCCCCCGCTACATGCAGACACAGCCGCCTACAGCTCCGCAGGTGGGGCGTGGGTCCAGGGCATCGCCAGCGTTACTTCTACAGACACTAATAGCGATACGAGTTTCTATCAGTTCCAGCTGATTTATTAAAATTGTCAAGATACAGACTTTCAGCATAAAAAAAAGGCAATGATGTTGACAGTGCACAAGTCTGCTTTTGCCATCATTTGCTACAAAATATGCAGATGGTCTGTACTTTAGATTATATTGCACAAAATGAGAAACTTTTTTTAACTATGTGCCTTTTTTTGCTAAAAATCGAGAATCCAGTTTCATACCTTCCATCTGGGGCCCCATCCACATATCACAGCGTATGAGATACATAAAGTCCTACTATAGTACAGTACATATACAATCTTTTAAACTAAGATAACAGCTCTGAGGTCTATATCACCATTTTCAATAAATCTTTACCTACAAATATTGAACAAATCTGAACTATAGCTGTACAAAAAAGTTTCTTTTTTTGTTTTAAACCACAAGGCCTTTAGATGCAAGGATTATTTTTAAAATTTTAATCCTTTTAAAACCAGGACGTAACGTACCAACAAACTTGCATGCTAAAAACAGAAAAGAAAAAAAATAAAAGGGAAGAAGTGCCTGAAAAGTCTTACTGAAAAAACACAGCAAGAATGTTCCCTTTTCACTGTACAAAAATACGCCTGAAAATATATTAATTTTTAAAAAAGACTGAGGTCTGTTATGTATCAAAAATGTTTCAATACCTTTTTGTACTGAGGTCTAGGCTGTCTGGTATTCAATCAAGGAGGTATAAGGGAACAAGCTACAAAAAAAAAGTTGGCAAGTAGAAATCACATTTGTAAAACCATAGACAATTTGATCTGAAAAGTAAACTCTGATCTTAAGTCAGTTCACAGTTTTTATTTTCTTTTTGTAAGCGTTTGTACAGTCTGCATTTTTTCAAGCTCCCTGCAGCTTTGTTAAGAATCGGATGCATAGAAGACATCAGTTTTCTCCCTCCAAAAAAAGTTGCAATGGTCCCTTTCAGAAAAAAATCAGAACAGTTCTTTTAAGATCTCTCACGGGAAAAAAAATCCACAAACCCCCTTGAGTAACAGTTGTGCTGCCAAAAGACTTCTTTGCAGACCATCTTCCAGACTTCAATCACAGACCGACAAGCTTCGAACATCGACTTCTGAATCATTTTTCCCCCAGTCCCCCATGCCTTTTTGTTGTTGTTGCGATCACCAAATTAAAAAAAAATAATAAAAAATAACTCCGGGCTCGGTTTGGAACTAACTTTGAGGCTTTTTTTTTAAAAGAAAAGACATTTTATTATATCATTTTTTACTCCACCACTTCCATCACATCATCACCAGCATCATCTTTCCTTTCCGATTTCTCTGCACGGTTGTTCTCATCAGCGACACGCCTTCCCGCGGCTCAGTAAGTGAAGACCAAGTCGGAAAAGTTCGCTTCCAGCCAGTCCCCTGCAATCATTTCGCTCAGCTCCGGGGTGCAGTAATCGGGGAACTCGAAGTGAGAGCCCAAGCTGCCCTCGCTGAACGAATCCAAATCTTTATCCACCAGGGACAGAGACAGGTTCCCCGAAGCAGAGCTCACCCCCAGCTCCGAGGCGGCGTGAGGGTGCTGGGAGAAATTCAAGCTCAAGTCGAACATCAGGTCGTCCGTCTCTTCGCTGCTGGAGGAGGAGGTGGAGATGGACCTGGAGGAAGCCGGGGACAGGCTGGGCTGCTGCTGGGTGCTCTGCTTGGTGATGTTCTTGAAGTTGTAGTACAGTCTATTGCTGCCGCTGCTGCCGTGCGAGGCTGCGCTGCCCCTCACCTCTTCGTACAGGCTGGCCCCCTCGGTGGACTCTGCCGAAGAGCTCAAGGTGGGACTGGCCGGGACTTTGGCTACATTATATCGCCTCTGCTGCTGCTGCTCGTCTTCCTCGTCCTCGTCCTCCTCCGCCTCTTGCTTGATCCTGAGCTGCAGCTCGTCCTCCTCCTCCTCCTCTTCATCATCCTCGTCCATGAAGACGCACTTGACGGTTTTGCTGCTCACTTTCAGGGTGCCGTAGACATAGTCCTCCCCCGCGTAGTCCCCGGGGTGGGTGGCTTTAGCCCCGGGCTTGGCGGGAGAGGAGGAGGAGGACTTCAGCTTGCTACATTTCTTACTGGAGCTCTTGGCGCTTTTGCTGCTGCTGGTGGGTGCGTTTTTCTCCGGGCTCTGGCTGGCACTGGGCTTGGCTGATGGGTCCATTTTGGGCTTTTTCCTGGGTCTGTATTTGTAGTCGGGGTAATCGGCCATGTGTTTGAGCCTCAGTCTCTCTGCCTCCCGGATGAAGGGGATCTTCTCGCTGTCCTTCAGCATTTTCCACCGCTTGCCCAGGCGCTTGGAGATCTCCGCGTTGTGCATGTCCGGAGACTGCTCCATGATTTTTCTCCTCTCGATTTTAGACCACACCATGAACGCATTCATCGGTCTCTTAATGTGCCCTGAAGCCGTTTTGCACCAGTCCGGGTCGCTCTCATCCAAAGCGACCGGGCTGCATGCCATAAACTCGCCCTCTTCGGTGTCCATCGCCTCCCGAGGCAGGTTGCTTTCAGTCTCTGTACTTTCCGCTTGCTGCACCATGCCGGGCTTGGAGCGATTTCTTTGTGTGTGCCAGCCCTTTCCCTGCCCCACCACGCGAGCCTTCGGGAGTCACAAGGTGAAGCCCAGCGAGCGAGTTGCAAGGTCTCTTCTGCGCCTTTCCTTCCCCGCTCGCACACTGCAGCTACTGCTCCCCTTGCACCAGGCACCAGCAGGACTGGGACTCTCTCCGGCTCGGCTCTTTCCCCTCCCCCCTGCAGCAGCAGCAGCCGCCCGGACCCCGAGCTCTCACTAGATCACACGCCCCCTTCTGCAAAAGTTGCGGCCGGGTCCTCTCCGAACTAGTTATCAGGGTTTCATATGGGTGACATCACTCCCCCAGCCAGCCAATCGTGTAACTCGGGCTCCTCCCACTGGCTCCTCCCCTCTGCCTTTATTTAAGTCCCCCACATGCGCCCCCCGCCTTTCGCACCGTTTTAGTGGGGGAGGTGTGGAATTGGAAGAGGCTGGGCTGGGAGCTTAATCTTAATATACATATATTAAAAATGACTTGCATGGGTCATTTAAGATGGGTTGTATTAATGCTTTCACTATCTCCTCCTGGGCTGGCTATTAGAAAGCACAGCAAATTGTTTTGCTAGAGAGTATGGGATAGTGGATGTGAATCTGGTGCGATTATTTCCCATTGCCTAGTGCAGTCAGGCTGGGTGAGCTCATGTCCTAGGGACTGAGGTGCATCCTCCGGGCATCTGCTCTCTGTGCTTCCAAGTAACTGAAGGTGGCGCTTTAACACTACAAGCTTTTCAAAAGCATGCAGCTATTTATTTTTTTGCAAGGCAAAGAAATCAGTTTAAAGATAAAGTGCTGATTTCTCATTCTTGTGTTTGCATAGTGTCTATTTTATCCCTTCTTTCTCTTATTCTCTTCCTCCAAACCTCCCCCACAGCCAAGGCATCACTTCTTTACTCATGGTTCCCTATCTGCCTTCCTTAAACCAATAGCAGGAGAAACAGTCAACGGTTTTGCTTTTGATCAGTTAATATCAATGACACCTATTTGAGATGTGTGATGTTTTGTACTTCAAAATTTGGTGGCTGTGACATTTACAGGCACAAATTGACCCATGGCCACCTCTGGCATTACTCACACCTGTGATCATTTTTTTTAAATCATGAAAAATATAGGATACATTAAACAATCTAATTGCATAAAAACAGCACTTTGCCTATCATGAATCATTTATTTTCACTTCCTAATTTTGACTAGACCATAATGCCAATAATTAGCCTTTTTTCCCCCTGGCTGGTAGTAAACCAGAGTAAATAGGGCACTGTGTCACATGGTGATTTAAATCCGCCCTTAACAAATCAGGGTGCATAGATGGTACTTAAAACATGTTTAAGTGGAGCAAGTCCTCCCCCCTTTCAATTTCATGGTGCTGTTAAGGCTATCTATGTGTTAGCTCCAGATGGTGGGGAGAAAAGAAGGTCTAAGCACCAGATACTCCCTGTAGGGAATTGAGTAGGAAGGGTGGCAAAGAGGCAGAACCATAGCTCCCCACCCTACACCTTCCCCAAGCACTGGCCAGATGCACAGAGTGGAGGGAAAACGAGTCTTGCAAATTACTGCCCCCATAACAAAAAGGGGGCCATGTGAGAAATGTTGTCTCTGAGGCACAATGCTTCCTAGTGCTCTCCATGACGGTGCCTACTGAACCAATCTAACCCATAATAATGGTTATTGTTTATCATCTGGATTGTATGAGGTAAAAAGGAAAATTTGTGTGGTATAAGTCAGCCTATCATAAAATATTATGACTTATATCATAAGCCGTTCGTTTATAAGCCGACCCCCCCAAGATGGATAAGTAAAAATGGAAAATTTGTATGCCCCATTCATAAGCCGACCCTATAATTCAGGGGTCGGCAAACTTTGGCTCCCGGCCCATCAGGATAAGCCGCTGGCGGGCCGATACAGTTTGTTTACCTTGAGCATGGAGGTAAACCTAAGTAAACAAAATGTCCCGGCCTGCCAGCGGCTTAACCTGACGGGCTGGGACAGCAACTGGTGGGGAAATTTTTTGTGGGGAGAAGCTGGGGGTTAGGGGAGTAACCCCTGTGATCACCCCCACATGACCCCACCCCAACCCGGGACCTCCCCACATGACTCCTCCTCGTGTAACCTCTCCCTGCCCCATCCCTAGCCTGGGACACCCACTCTCTCCCCATCCCATCCCTTCCCACCTTACCTGCAACGGGCCAGGGGAGGATGCCAGGGGAGCGGTGTGTCCGCAGCCTGCCAGCCCCAGAACTGCAGCGGCTTCGGAGGCTGGGGGGAGAGCAGCGTGGCCAGAAGCGGAGAGACTCTGTCCCCTGCCTCTTCCCTTCTGGCTCTGCTGGCTGTGCTGCCTCTCCTTGCCCCCTCTGTTGAGGGGGCGGAGGAAGGGGCTGTGTCCCACCTCTCCCCCTCTCTATACCCGTTCATAAGCCGACCCCCTTCTCTGGTGTTTCCCTTTTTTACTAACGCGATATATTAAAATAGATGTTCCTAAAAGGGTGGAGCAGACTCTTTAAAGCCTGGCCTACTTGAAGGATTGCCTATTTTCCTGTGTAATACTTTCACCACCGTGGTCAGCAGAGGAACCTGAGTAGAATTCCCCTCATTATAAACGAGGGGGAGAAGGTTGCTGGGCATTCTCTGTGAAGGCTCCAAGACTCTGGTTTCTCCCCAGCCTGGTCTGAAGTAGCTTGAATTCGGTGCCCATGTGGGCCCACTGCAAATGCCATCTGTTTGATAGGGGTTTTGGAGAGAATGAGGGTATGCTTCCCACAATGATGAAAGGGTGGAAAGGAGTCTCTATAGATGTCTGGCTGGTTGAATTCCTGTGAGATGACTACTGGCTGCTGGAATTTTATTATTAATGATGTCAGGGTGCCTAGAACCTTGAAGAAGTGTAAAAAAAAGTCTAACAGAATGTTAGGAACTATCAGGAAAGGGACAGAAATTAAGAGAGAAAATACGGAAATGCCACTGTATAAACCCATGTGCTCCCGTGTCCAGTTCTGGTCACCCCATCTCAAAAAAAGATATAGTGGAACTGGAAGGTTGCAAGAAGGGCAACAAAGATGATCAAGAATATGGAATGGCTTCTATAAAAAGAGAGACTACAAAGATTGGGGCTGTTAAGCTTAGAAAAGAGACGAGTAAGGGGAGTTATAATGGAAGGTTATAAAATCATGAATGGCATGCAAAAAATGATTAGTGACATGTTATTTAACTTTTCCCACAATACAAAAACCAGGAGCCACATGATGCAATTAATAGGCCGCAGATTTAATACAAATGAGGAAATACTTTTTCATGCAGCACACAGTTAACCTTTGGAACTAATTGTTGTGGGATACTGTGAAGGCCAAAAGTATAACTGGGTTCAAAAAAAGAACTGGATAAGTTCTTAGAGGATAGGGCCATCAAGGGCTGTTAGCCAAGATGATCAGGGATGTAACCCCGTGCTTGGGGTGACAGTAAACCTCTAATTACCAGAAGACAGAGGTGGATCACTCCAACTGCCCTGTTCTGTACACTTCCTGTGAAACTCTGGTACTGGCCACTGTTGGAGACCGGATACTCGACTTGATGGACCATAGGTCTGACACAATATGGCCATTCTTATGTCTATTCTTATGTTCTTTTTGTTATTTTAAATTTAAATAAATAACGTGAGTAGAGATGGTTGAAAAATAGAATTCCATTCTGTAGGAAATTCTGAGATTTGGTCACATTCTGCATCAGAGTGAAAAGTTTAAATCTCAGAAATTTTGTGAAATACAATATTTCAAAATATTTTTTCGACCTTATCAAAACATCTCATTTTGGTAAGATTCAACTTTTTTCATTTCAACTTTATTATTTTGACTTTTATGCTATACCATATAATGATAACATGTATTGTAATTTATAATAACATAAAAATCGAAATGATAAAGTCAAAACAGAACATTTTGACCTTATCAAAATGAAATTGGCATGTTCCTATGAAAGTTTTTGATTTAATTCGGCTGGAAAACTGTTTCAATGCAAAATTTCCAACTAGTTCTAAATGTAACTAAGAAGCCAACCAAAAATATAGGGCCTTTCATGACTGGGGTGCCATCTAGAAAACATCGCAGGATCAGGCCTTTAACTACCAGAACTGTTAATGTAATCAAATAGCAATAACAGTCCAAAATCAGACAAGAAAAAGCTTTACTACTATAACTAGTGGAGGGGAAAAATAGGTCAGATTACGTCCTTCTTTTTATCACTGTCATTGCAACCTAAAGAAGACTATTCTGGTTGAAACATTTTTCTTGTCTGAGTTTGTCTCCTTTGTAAAGATGAATATAAATACTATGGAGGCTTTCATATAACCCCTCCTCCCCTCTTTTTTTTTATTTCTTTGAGTTCCTTTGGTGTATTTTGGTAACATTTAAAAATCTTTCAAACTGGTCTTTTAACTCTAAACAGATATACTGCTCTTGCGGGCTTGTTAATATTGATCTTCTATCTGATTATTTTTTTGGAGGGTGGTGCTGAAGAGATGATGAAGTTTGAAAAACAGGGCTGACAGCTAATAAGGACAATCAAGAAAGTGAGTGTCCTGCAGATTTCAGAGATCTGCTGCTGCACAGGAAAAGGTCTATGTAAAATGAATAAAGGTCTGGGTCTGCCCTCAGGAGTGCACCTGAGACTGAAAAACACTACCAAGTGGAGTGATCTGTGTTGAGAAGCAGAATCCCCTATGCAGGGCTGGATTAAGGCAGGGGCTTTAGGGGTTGCAGCCCAGGGCCCCGGCTCAATAAAAAAAAAAAATAAATCACAGGCAGCAATCTCCAAATCCGGGCTGCTAAAAGTCCCGCAGCGCAGTGGGGCGCTCAGGCAGGCTGCCTGCACGTCGTGGCCCCATGCTGCTCCTGGAAGCGGCCGGCTGCTAGCACGTCTCTGCAGCCCCTGGTGGGGTGGGGGGGAGTCGGCTCCGCGTGCTGCCCCCGCCCCAAGCACTGTCCCCACAGCTCCCATTGGCCAGTTCCCGGCCAATGTGAACTACGGGGGTGGCGCTCGCAAGCGCGGGAAACGCACGGAGACACACTGCCCTCCTCCCCACCAGGGGCCGCAGAGATGTGCTAGCAGCTGGCCGCTTCCAGGAGTGGTGTGGGGTTATGGCATGCAGGCAGTCGCCTGTGGTAAGCGCCTCCCGGCCGGAGCCTACACCTCGCACTCCCTCCTCCACCCCAACTCCTATCCCAGATCAGAATCCCCCTCCTGCACCCAAACTCCCTCCCAGACCCCACAACCCTCCAACA